GAGTAATTATCTTTCGCCGGAGAACTTGCGTAAGGAGCTATAATTTTATTTTTTTATTTTTTTAAATCAAACATTATGGGGAATAGCAAAAAACGGTTGTCTTTTTTGCTCTTTTCTTTCCTCTCATGTTATTAGTCTTCTTTCATTGAGGTAATTTCAGGTCTTACATATTGATGAGCTGTTTGAAATTAACTAGGAGGTATGCGCGTATTGGGGAATGTGGCTTGCTGCTCTACTTAAAAAAAAAACAACTTCCCATGACATGTAATGAGTGTTTAGTGTACATTATGTGGGACGTACAGTGATAGATGGAAAGTTATTTCAGTATATTCGAAATGACTTTTAGGCAACTGCTTTTTCCTCCCACATTATCAACATTCATTCATTTCATTTCATTTACATAATGTCATGAAATGCATTCAAAAAATGAAGAAAAAAAGAAAGAAACAAAAACAACCCGTGAAAAAAAAATATTGTCGGCGAAGCATTTGTCGTAGTACTAGTAGCATTTGTATTTAATGGGACACTTTTTGGGCGGAGCAAATGTCGTCGGAGCAAATGTCACCGGAGCAAGTGTCGCTTCATGCGGAGCAAATGTCGTCGGAGCAATTGTCGGCGGAGCAAATGTCACCGGAGCAATTGTCGCTTCAGGCGGAGCAATTGTCGGCGGAGCAATTGTCGACGGAGCAATTGTCGGCGGAGCAATTGTCGGCGGAGCAATTGTCGGCGGAGCAATTGACGGCGGAGCAAATGTCGGCGGAGCAAATGTCGGCGGAGCAAATGTCGGCGGAGCAAGTGTCGCTTCAGGCGGAGCAAATGTCGGCGGAGCAAATGTCGGCGGAGCAATTGCCGCGTTTTGCGGAGCAATTGACGGCGGAGCAATTGTCGGCGGAGCAATTGTCGGAGGAGCAATTGTCGGCGGAGCATCTGTCGGCGGAGCAATTGTCGGCGGAGCAACTGTCGGCGGAGCAACTGTCGGCGGAGCACCTGTCGGCGGAGCATTTGACGTCGGAGCAAATGTCGCGGAGCAAATGTCGCGGAGCAATTGTCGCGTTTTGCGGAGTAAATGTCGGCGGAGCAATCGTCGGCGGAGCATGTGTCATGGAACCTATGGGGGAAGGTCGTCTTGAACAACAAGGGCCGGACAAGTTTACCCCTGGACTTTTACTCACAGGCATACGCTCCCAGAAAAGTCACCTCTTAAAAACTAGCCTGAGCCTCTGAGGACAATAATATTACACCCGGAGGCCGGAGAGCTAACCCCGGACAAAAACTATAACCTATTCAAATTCCACCCCTAGTACAGATTCTGTCCGTTTTTATATATTTTTTGTTCTTTAATAATCATTGTCATCCTAGAATAGTTATCCGGGAGTTTATTGTCCTAGGGGTTACTTGTCCTAGGGAAAGTCGGCCGGGTGATAGTCCGATTTTCTGGGGAAGGGGGGGGGGCAGTGATGTTATCTTCAATCTGAGTATCCTCCACGAAATCACTCCTCCTTTTTTCGTATTACAGTCTTATAAATTCGTAACAGTATGGTGATTGGGAAAAAAGAAATACTATCTTCATGATCTTGTACATAGCAAGTATAGCTACTGGACATAGTGGTGACGCAGAACTGATTCCGGATTGGAAAATTATGCTATAACACTCAAGATAGAGTATTTGAGGGTTAAAGATGCAAACATTTCCTAAAGCTTCTTCGCATGTGCTCGAGGATCTTATAATTTTACCCGCCAATATTAATTATAGCTTTTAAATAATATTTTAAAGGGTCGTAAAATTTGTAATATTAGTTGCTTTGCTCCTCATTGAGCCTCAATATACTGCAGTGTAAAAAAAAAGAATGGCATTTGGGAAGGCTCAGCAATATCAAAAATCTTTAGTTTCTTTACAGTCTGTTACCTTGCTAATTTTTGTATTCGACTATATTCCTCCAGACAGTTCGTTAATTCTGGACCACAGAATGATAAAGATGAAGAAGTGAATAGCAAACCATTTATCAACCAGCAGCTTTGTTATGGTCATACGCATTGGCCTACGAGCCGGGGGAGGGGGGGGGGGGGGGGGGGGGGGGGTGCGCTCCCGAATTTTTTTAGAGTTCCAATTTGTCCATGAATTTACTTTTGTTGATAGAGTGAATCTTTTTCTTTTTTTTGGGGGGGGGGGGGATCATCGTGAACACTTACAGGCGGATAATTACCCGTGGCCTTTTACTCTACGCTCCAAGACAAAGTTAGGCAACTCACCTCTGAAAAACTATCCTCAGGACAATTACACCCGGAGAACTTAGCCCGGACAAAAACTATCACTATCACCTATTCCAATTCCACCCCTAGTCCAGATTCTGTCCGTTTCTATATATTTTGTTATTCTTCAATTATCTTTTCCCTCCTATAATAGTTATCCGGGAGTATTTTGTCCTAGTGATCACTTGTCCTAGAGATAGTTGTCCGGGTGGTAGTCCTTTGTTAGGGGTTAAGTTAAATTTTCGAAAATTCCAACTAATAATTTGATCAGTTCCCTACAATTTTCGTGCAGTTCCGATTCTACTGTATAACCTTCATTAAATCGCCCGTCCCTTTTGGCCTCTCAGCCTCATAATTTCGTTACAGTATTGTACGTGCAATACAGAAAGCCACTGATACTATCTCGATGATCATGTACATAGCAAGTTATCTACTGCACAGAGCTGTGACGCAGAACTGATTCTGAATTGAAAAATTATTCTACATGTATAACACTCAAGATATAAACAAATATGCATTACCTTTCAGTTGTGTATTCCAATAAATTGTCTGCAGTTTATGTTGGATAAGGAATGGAGAAAGTTATATGTAGCTTTATGAAAATCAACTAGTCGCAACGCATCGTAACCTTGCCATATAATATACGTGGCGCTGTAGCTTGTATTCTCGTGAAATTGGACTTTGGTCTTCTGAGTTAACACAAAGCTAAAAGAGACAAAGGAAATGTGACAATAAAGTTCAAGTGTCAACGGAAATATAAAAAGGAAATATTATGTTGACGATAATATCATCACAAGCCATTGGAATCTTGGAAATTTCAAATTAGGTTATAATTCTTAAAATTATCTTTTGGGGAGTCAGATCGGGATAACTCCATTTTGAGTGAAAATCCGCTGAAAATTATGGACTCTCATAACGGGTATTTAATCACTACTTGGGAGAGATTTCAAATCCAAAGAATCGATCCCTGATATGACTATCAAAAACGACGATTTATACTCATCTGCATTGACAGAATTATCATCCCTTTATCACTCACGTTTATGACGTATTTTGGGTTGAAAATTTTGAGATAAAACATTTCCATCACAAATAGGACTACGCCAGACTGAGGGGGCACCCCGGAGCATTTGGCGAGAGGACACAGTGCTCCGTGGTTTTTACAAACTTACTGCCCAAATTGCCATTTTCTTTAATGATTTGTGCCCTTCTGACCTGTTGTTAGTACCACTTAATTATGCCTACCTATAATGCCCTATTTAAGTCCTAAAATAAAATCTCCTAGGAATCGGAGCAGCTTCCTATAGTAACATGCATGCTCCTCTGTTTTATTCATCTCACTGCAAACCAATTGAGTCTAGGGCAGGAAAGTCCAAAAGCCCCCACAAGCATCAAGAGTGCACCTTTTTCAAAGCATAGTCTTCTTCCTCAACGCCAGCAAGTGCCCCTTCCAGAAAATAAATACTTGCCATGAAATTTGACTATCTGAACTACCGAAGCGTGTCAAATCGAAATGGAGAGATATGATGAGAGATGTTTTCTGAAGTTTTGTATTCACTAAATAACTGAAGAAATTTATCTGGTGTTGATGTAACTTGATTTTTTTTCCTTCTTCATAATCAGTGAAAACTGTCTTTTTTATGATAAGCTTTCACTTACTGTGCTGCTAGCTTATTCAAACTCTGTCGTAGCTGGCGCTGTTACTGATGCATCAGGATGAAATGATAAAACGAAACTTTCAGAAAGTGACAAAGTCATACATGTACTCACATACAAAACAGAGATTAAAATAATAATAAAGGATAATATTCCTCTCTTTTTTCTTCAACGTACGATCCCATTCTAATACCTCGTCGAACTACATCACCAACAGCGCCATCTACGACATGGTTCTGAAGGCGCTTGCAGCACAGCAACTTAAAAGCTTATTAAAAAAAAAAAAGTTTTCCACTGATTATGAAGGAAAAAAATATTTTCAAGTTACATCACCACCAGATGAACCTCTTCAGGTATATAACTACACAGGAAGTGAAAGATTATCAAAACAGGTAATTGCACTGATTGTGAAGAAAGCATTAAACTTGTTTGTATTCACTCTTGACAGGTGCTTTAGAACATTCGGTTAGTGCTCCTTCTCTCTTAACGCTCCATCGCTTCAGCCTAAGTTCTGAATTTTAAATTGGTTATAAAATATACAATTTTTTTAATAAATCGCCTCTATAGTTATTATTTGTTCTTATTGATGAAATCTGCTCTCATATAATAATTGATTAAACAATAATGTTCTATATTGCAGCTATACAATGGCAACCTACCAACATCAAGTGAGAGACAATTCATCCCGTAACAGTGACAGAAGCGACAATGAAGGGAGATGCAAGGTAAGAAATGAGGGGTGTCAACGGGAAGGTGAAATAATCCTACCAGCTTCCAGCATTATGAATAACCTTTAGTCCCTCGAGACTCACTGTTGGCAAGCCTTCGAGGGTTGGAATTAGGGGGGGGTGTTGGAGAAGCAATTTTATTATTCGGGAATATTTGGGAATCCTCTCAGCACTCTCGTTGAGTTATGGGGGTGGGTTCGCCAACACTTGGAGGGAATCGTTTTGGAAAATATACTTTGAAAACCTCCCTACTTTCTTGTAAACAGTGGGGGGGGGGGTCTCTTTTTGCCCTTGAAAGGCTTTCATATTATGGAGGGGGAAGAAGTTATCTAATTTTTTCGTAATTCTGTTATGTTTTGCAGGTATCAGTGAGTGGTTCACGTGTCCACATAGAGTGCACCCTCTATCGTTCCAATCAATGCTCGGTGTTGTTTACAGATGACCAAGGGAGACAGACAAAGATTGTTGTGGATATCAAGGTAAGATGACTGGATAAAAGGATACTCGAATGGATGTAAACACTCGAAAATAACTTTATGCAATAATACTAGATTAAAAGTAAAGGTTGGCGGAAATGACAGTTAAATGGTATAACGAACGAATTGTTTTTTTGAGCCAACACGATATTACGTTAAAAACAAAGGGAAAGGAATGAATTGTTTTCAAGGGGCAGAAATTAAAACGTTGACATTGTAGCAGTATCATATCGAATAAAAAGCCTAGTTACTTTGTTTAATCTTAACTTTCCCATAATCCTTCTAGGAATCAGCTAATCATAGTAAATAATTTTTCATTGAATCAATTATTATTTTTTACGAAAAGTTTACCATGACAGACAAAATAGGTCTATTTGCGTTTAATGATCGGAAACTAGAATGATTGTTGCTTCTGCTAATAATTGTTTTAATCGATTAGTGAAGATTCACGTGCCCCAGTGCTAAATATATTGGAACCTTTGAAATATTCTAATGATATGCATCGATCTCGAGGATAATGTCATGTCGTTAACAAAACTTATGTTTTAGTATGGGAGCCTGTCCCGAAAAAGTCACACAATGACATAAAGACACAACATTTACCAATAAGATTTAACCCCTTACTTGGGCCATCTAACTCATTTACAAGGGTTTAGCGGCCCCCAGAGCCCCCGAATTGGCCCCAAATTACCCCGTTTAAGCCAAGAGGTGACTATTATTGTCTTAATATCCCAGCTAATGACTATAGAGTTAGTGCAGTTGTACAATGCACTAACTGGATAAATAAATAAAGTTTTATTAACTCTTGGGTTATATTCCTCTATAAACGTTTACACTTTTTTTTATCGTTTTTTCTACCAATTCTGAAGGAAGGAGATACACTGGAGGTGTTACCAGTGAGTATACACCCCACAGATGACAGTTATCAACACGGAAATAGCGGGGTGGGATTTGACAGTGCTTCCCAAACTCCGGGGAGCCCGGGGACGGACAGAACGGATGAAGAAATTGTAAGCAGAGCTTCATTTTCATATTTCTATGTTTGTAAGAATCGTTAGGCCTAATGTGAAAAAGCTGATGGTGGTGGGTGATTATTGATAATAATGTTCAGGGATGTTCAAAGATAGACTTTGAGGCACAAAGGCTTCAGGATAAGATTAGTCTATCCTATCTATCAACACAACAATTGATAGCGATTCAATTTATCAAACATTAAAACTAAATAGTTCGTATGATTTTTCTTTTATTAACCTCATTTTTGTTGTATTCACTTTGTGTTCTAGGGATCACTGCGATCTGATGAAGGCTGGGATCGGGGAGGAGAACATTGTACAACTTGTACATGCGCAGTAAGCGTCAGACCTCGTCGTTCTCCCTCTATCTTTGCACCCTGCATGCCAGAGGAGTGATGTGCTGCAGCTAACCAAAGGGGCGGATCCAGGATTTTCCAATGGGGGGGGGGGGGGGGGGGGGGGGGGGGGGAGGGGGAGGGGGAGGGGGGGGGGGCCTGAAATGTGAAAATCGCGCCGACCGATATTTCGCTCAGTGGGGTAGTCATCACTAAAATCTTTTTTGCTCCCATACATTTACTTTTGCTCAGTGGGGAGATTTTTTTGTTTGTTTTACTCAACACCCCCCCCCCCCCCCTTGAGCAAAAGAAAAAAGGTAAATTGGTGGTTACCCTCTTTTCTTTAATGTTTTTTGGGGGAAGGGGGGGGGGGACGTGGATCCGTGCCTGGCTAACTGTCATGCTCAAATAGTACCCCTTCAATTGTTCAAGTTCCTCTAAAGTGCCCCTTTTTACATCGGAAAGATGCCCCCTTTTGCTTCAGATAAGTGCCCCTTTATATTTCTGACATGTGCCTGTTCCACCATAAAATTTAAAGCGACTAAGAGCAACCTTTTCTTGAATTTTACCCAAAGCTCGCTCGCATATAAAGTTGATACAATAAAGTTTCTTATTAAAGATGTTTTCAGTCTTTCATGAATGTATTGTGCTTTAAACCCCATCAGGATTGTTTTTTCCTCTTTATAAGATGTAATCTAAAAAATCTTACTCGCTCACTCGCAATATAGACCATCACATCCAACTCTAAAGTATGATGCTTAAGCAGTATCTTGGACAATGTAAAGAGAGAAACAAACATTGAAATCATCCATGATAATGTAATCACAGTGTAGGGGTATATACCACTGCTAATTTTTAAAAATATTTTTGCTTTGAGATTTCCTTTGTGGATACCCCTTTTTTTTGTTTTTGAAAGTGCCCTTTTTTGTTGGTGCCCTCACTTTGTTAAACGCTCCGCCGCCCCTGATTTGAGGTGTGACTAATTTCATGTTTAATTCAGTGTGCATAGAAATATTATTGTAAATCACTCTGCACGTACATTAAGCGTACATTATTTTATTTAGCATTGCAATAAGTTAGGTATTGGGTAGTGTTCTCATAAGTTATGCCGGGACTTAGTCCAGACTAAATAAGAATTTTAGTTCACATTTCTATAGAATGCTAGATTTCATCTTCCTCTTTCAATATTCATGACAAAAATAATCTACGAAGGACTTTATAGAAATTCAGTTCATAATCATATTATCCTTTTCTTCCCATTTCATTGCAAAATAATTTGATTGACACTTTTCATTGCAGGATTAAAACAATCTGCACTGGGTAAATGAGTTGCAACAGGCTTTCCATAGAAGTGTGGACTAAGTACGCGCTATCGAAACACCACCCATTATATTCATTTATTCATTGTAGGTTGCGATGAAATAAACAGTTTATATAGTATTTATACATGATAGCTAATAATAGAAATGATAATAAGACCAATTTTGATAATTTTATAAAATTATACTAAAGATGATGATGAAGATAATGATGATGATAATGGGCTAGTGTTAATTCAGAAGTAAACTTTTATAAATGCAGTTTACACAGAAGAATGAATTGTTTATCACATGCAATTCTTGAACCTGGGATCGCAAATGAATACTCTTGTGCATTTTTTTTTTTTTTTTTTTTTTTTTTTTTGGGGGGGGGGGGGGGGGCTTTGTCAGGGTTAATTTGTATCGTGTTTCTCAATTGTACATGTATATTGTAAACTTTGTATCTTGTCTCTGGTAAATATGAAGTGTTTTTTTAAAGCCCATAGCACGTCAAATTTAATTCAGGGGCTATTGAGATTAAAATAAAAGAGAACGTAATGCACACAAGATGATAATGTTATTATGAGCTTTTGTGTAAGCAGTCACAACTTTCATTGATATATGAGGGGGGGGGGGGCGGGGGGCCATATTGAATCTATGGAACTATGATCCTGGTCATTCGAGGGATGGGTAGGTTACCTGGTTGGTTTATTGATTGGTTTGTTTGTTAGTTGGTTGGTTAATTGGTTTGTTGATTGGTTGGATGGTTGGTTGGTTAATTAGTTCGTTGATTGGTTGGATGGTTGGTTGGTTGGTTGGTTTAATGGTTCGCTGATTTGTTGGTTGTTTGTTTGATGGTTTGTTGTTTTGATGGTTGGTTGGTTGGTTGGTTGGTTGGTTGGTTGGTTAGTTACCTGATTTGTTGTTGGGCTTCTTGATTAGTTGAATAGTGAGTTGGTGGTTGGTTGGTGAGTGCGTTTATTGGTGAATAGAATAACTGGAATGAATCTGTGATATTCGCTATAAAAGTATTGCTTACTATTATTATTATTATCTTTATTGTTATTCTTATTCTTATCATTACTAATATTATTATTATTTATTTATAGCTTCTTTTAATTATTGTTCAAATTTAGGGAATCATTTTAATTGATTAATCACTAGTTAGTTAATAGCTAAACTAGTGAGAGTTTCGTGGGTTCTATATTGATAAAAATGATTGCTTGATTTTTTATATCATGTGTTGCTCTTTGATTTGAATTGGTACAATGATTGACTTGGATAAACAGGAAACATTTGTTAAAGGGCAAATCCACTCCAAAAATAACTTACTTACAATAGAAGCAGAAAAAACCAATCAAAAAAGTTTTGAGCAAAATCGGATAACTGATAAGAAAGTTATTAATTTTTGAAAAAAGTATGTAAAACCATGGAACAATAGAAATCACTATATACACAAATTGCAATTATTTTATTTTTCACTCACACTGTAGTATGAAATACTATGCCAGTCTATGTTTTCAATACATCTTGCCGGAGAGAAAAAGGAGAGAGGAAATGAGGAAGGTGTTAAACAACATGACCTTACTAGTATCAGGGAGTTGAGACAAAGCATACATGCTAGTCGACGGCTTCAGGGCTATTTCATCGGATGCAAATCAATTATTCTAAAAATTCAAAAATGTTTTCCATCGTATTTATGGTATAAGTTAAACTCTAAAGAAATGTCTTAAATGCTTAGTCCATGCCAAAATAATTTTCTTTTAATTGATGCAGAAAAACATGAGAAACAGAGAAAAAATTAGTAGAATAGGATAACTCAATAAGGAAGTTATCATTTTTTAGAGTATGAAAAACGATGGAACTTAGAAAATCACTATACAATACAAATAGCCAATTTGGTTATTAATGTGTGGCGTCATGTCCTCACTATTTATAAATTGCTTTATATATCCCATTAATTTGCCTTTTTATCCCCAAAACTTGATTTCCACATTCCTAGTATGAATGGTTATATGGTTTGTATCATATTGCGTGCATGACATTTCACAAAATCTGTTATAAACTTTGAAGAATTGATACCATTTTCTGGATATATTTTATTTTCATAATCATTTATTTTTATATAAATAGTTTATCAAATTCACATTTGTCATGATTTAACTGAAAAGAATTAGGCCTACTCTACATTAGTGCATCCACACAAAAACATATTACTATCAATATAACTTGGGTGCTGGTGTAAAGACATATTTAGGGGCAAAATTGGAAATGTATAATATAAAAATAAAGAAAACAATTGGTGGATAGTGAGGCAATGACGTCACAGACCCATGAGTGAGTTGCCAATTTGTCTAGTGATTTTCAAAGTTGTTCATGTCATTAAATATTAATAAATTTCTTTTTAGTTATCCGATTTTGCTCAAACTTGTTTGATTGGTTTGTCTGATTTTTCTGCCTCTATAGAAAGTAACTTATTTTTGGAGTGGACTTGCCCTTTAAGCTTGAAATCAGAAATTCGCACACTTTCAAACAGAAATTTCTTAGCATTGAAACGAGGTGGATAGATTGACTGATTGTGTCATACTCCGTCAAGAGAGGGCACTAAGTATATAGGATCTCCATGCGTTTCTCTCTTGCGCTCTTTCCTCAGTGAACACACGCGAATGCATTCAAACCTTAACTTTAGCATGACATGATCGAATGCTTCAACGAATCGTTTCAAAGCGCCATAGAAGTCGCATTCGAGATGTAATGATACACATTTATTTATTCAAAATGATGCAGTTATATTCAGAGAACCAGCGATATTATGTTTCATTATTTCACATTGAAACCAGGAGACGTTGCCGAAGTAAGAAAGTATTCTTCTTAACCACAAGCACAACGTTGGTCACTTTTGGTGTATGTTAATCTTCACGGCTACTGTGACAACAAAAAACAAAAAAAAACAATGTTACAGTGATTAAATTGTCTAATAAAAAAAATTAGACCAACATTTAAAAGGACCAAGATGTCAGCCTGTATACTTAAAAAAATGTGTCATCACTAATCAGACATTAATACAATTTAATTCAATTTTTAAACTTTCATTAAAAGTTTGATTCGATCAGAATTATAATCCTTTTCATTATTTACACGTCTAATTTTAACATTGGTAAATTGATCGATACATAATGTTGGTTGTAATATTATTTCTGTTCCCAGTTGCAATTATTGTAAACCCAATGTCGGACGGATCCATTCAGAGCAGACGACAATACCATTATCTGATACGACGATATGGATCGGTTCCGTTCCCATAGCAACCTAATGATGAGAAACTACGCGGGGAATAAATGATTTTGATAGTTAATTAGCAGTGAAATGGGGCATTCTTAATTTGACATTCAGTGTCGTCTAGATGATACTAGCTTAGAAGTGATCAATTTCAAGACCGTACATCTCCATTCAAACATGCATGGGAGAATTTGTATTCAAAACCTTGGTACAAAAATATGATTTTTCTAAAAAATTAGTTTACTCGTGTGGTAAAGTTTTATGTATTTCTGTTAAAGAATATAAAATTATCAAAACGGTGATATTTCTCATTTTCCTTTCAGGGTGGGGGGGGGGGGGGGATTCAGGATGGAAATGAAAAGACATTAAAGAAAGAGGAAAGAGGAAATAATTATTCATCGATTTTTTTTGTTGTTGTTCTTGCTGGAAATTGCTGTTATTCTGTAATCCACCTGTCAACATTACAGTTATTTTATTCAAAGTTCTACCACGTGTTACACAAAGTTTAGCAATCAAAGTAGGCCTATGTACAATCAGTTGATCGTATATCAGTCATTTAATCATACGACTATAATAATTGTCCATGATTTGATTGCAAAATGCAATCACTGAAAGACTGATTCCAAAAATGACAACCAATCGACTGGCTGCAATATGGCAATTCAACGACTGATTGCAAAATGGCAATCATATGACATGTGACTGGTTGGTCTGAGTAAAAGAGAAAATTAGAGACGCAGGTGAAACCTTGGAAGAAATCCGACCCCCCCCCCCCTCAACAAAAAAGACTGTTATGAATGTTTGAAGTTGTAATTGATCAAACATTATTTAGCATAATTGTCTTTAGACTCTGAACCAATATTATTGCTCTTTATCATAAAAAGTCTTAGATTTCTATTTTCTCTCAAGGTAATTATCAGTCGTCACACAAAGTGCATCATAATGATATAACCAGTGCACTCTTGTATGAAGAAAAAAAAGGTATATTTCAATTTACATTTATATTTTTTAAATGGGAATTATCTAAGGAAAGCATTGCAAGAAAAGGAGCAAAGTCAGGAGAATAGTATATAGGAATAGACAGTCGATCTGCAGAGATCGTTTGACTTTGAGCAGGGATATCCCTGCTTTGAGGAACAAGATCATGCAGGGGATAAAGATCATGGCGAAGGTTAGAAACAGAAAGTTATAAATGTAGTTTGATCGCCCAAGTATTGTCAATACGGAATTAAAACTAAACCCGTTATACAAGAAAATACTGTCTTATTTCATTACATGCATATAACTGAGACGGACTCACATTTACTTTACTTTAAATGTGAACCCGACTGTTGCCAATAGCCCAATAGCGAAGTACCGTTGTCGGCAAGGCGAATTTACACTAATTATGCCATGTTTGAGGCAGCGTACAGGTCACGATTGACGTCACTAGCCGACGATCAGCCGAGCCCCTTAGCGACACGGTACTATATCGCTCGCCCGCTCGCTCCGATCCGCTCGCCTCATATTACTTGCACATTATAACCCGCAATAGCGACCTTACAATGCGTAGGCTGCTAGTGCACGGAGGCCTCCCTGTATGTCGTTCGTGCCTATTTCCTATGCAATTTTACGTGCATTGTAGTACAGTACGTACGAGCCGGGCCAGCTTCTAGCGGAATATATACCCGGTTTGATCGCAAGCCAGGAGTCGTACTCGGCATGCAGATAAACCGCCTGGTTTGCGGGGAAGGTACATACAACATCATGGCAAAGTTAGACAGCTAGAATCAAGATTTCCTCGGCCTGAAATAAATCGTCAAACCTGCCGATTGGATTGTAATTTCGGAAATCTTCTCCTGCTTTCCGTCTGGCCTGCCTTCACAACGTTGGGCTGCGTATATTTATACAGAAATTTTCCTACCGGCGGGTACGGCTATACTCGCGAGCGAGCTTACTGAGTGTGTGTGTTTCGGAGTGTGTGGTTAGCACTGCATGTATTTCTCTGTATCTGCACGCACTGAGAAAGGCCTTGGATCGTATCGACTGTAGTCTACGTGGGAATAAATTTTGCAGGCAGCGAATTATCTCTGCGATATCGTCGTATACAGAAGCCGTTCCTCTACCGTCTACGTCTATCTCTCTCTCCCATCGTTTGTGCATAACAAGCCTACGACTTCTATCCGAATCGAGGGGTAAATTACTGCAGCAAGATGGCGGATCTAGAAGCCGTTTTGGCGGATGTGAGCTACCTTATGGCGATGGAGAAGAGTAAATCTACTCCGGCTGCCAGGGCAAGCAAGAAGCTGGTTCTTCCTGACCCGAGGTAAACCTAACATTGTTTTTGTCAATATTTTGTTATCACCCAAACATCACTCAACATGATCAACACAACACACAAATGGGTATAACAACATTGGAGGGGGAGGGGGTCATGTGTGTGGACGCTTGGCAAAAATTAAGCATTCTCTTTTGCTTTTGGATTTAACAAATATTACAGACAAATGAAATAAACAAACAACACTAACCATCATTAGCCTTTTAGTAGTTACTTTATCATTATGGAGTAAGGTAGATTGGGTAATTCAATTGTCCAGGCTTTAGTTCAGGCCTAGAGTAGACTCTAGACTAGACTCTATTTAAATTTTAAAATTTTGCTAAGGTGCTGAGCTGTGTGTCCGGACAGTTTGTTTTTCAGGACGGTTATAAGAGATTTTAAGCAGTTTAAATCCAATATTTTTATAAATGTTTTAACTAGATTTATGTTAGACAGTATTACACAGTATTACTACAGTATTATAAAAGAGGATTATATTCGTGATGGTTGGTGCTAATATTTGATGCATAAAATACTTTTAGTTAGATACTAATGCCTAAGGCAAAAGCAAGGGCTTTTTTTGTTTTGTTATGCATCTGGACAGGTGGACACACGACCCCCCTTCATACGACTCTTTACGAGTTTCATGAAATGGGGACTCGGACTAACTTAGGGTCTCTTGTTTGTAAACTTCTTTAAATTTCTGTTTGAAATAAAATGTCCGGATAACCAACCTGTTCAGACATGCGATGTGTTGATGTATGGTGGTGTGACCATAGTTCGCGCGTGACCCCCGTTGCAGCGCACACACTGATGATGATCCGACATCAAATTTTTAGATTGCGATATATCCGGAATACTTTGACGATAAATTTTCTTGTTGAACCAATTTGTAGTAAAAAGATTTTGCCGTCCACTTGGTATTTGGGAAATAAATTTGTGTAGAATATGAGAAATTATAGATCGAATATCACATTCTCTAATATTGTCAAAATCTCCATCTAGATCTAATTCTACATGTAAGTCTAGTATACAAAGAATACACAGCAGTGAGGGCATCAGTAAGAATTACTCACACAAGGTACCTTTGGAACAGTCTAACACGCCCAAGGCGGTAGCCGAGGGTGTTTGGACTGTTTTGAATTTGAAGGTACCGAGTGAGGGTAATTTTACTAATGCCCGAAAAAATGACGTGTATCATTTGTTTATAAAATGATTTTGATAATGACCGGTATTATCCAATTACGTGTGAGGCAAAAAATATGCCTGGTTACTTGTACATGTACTGTACGAATGTACTGAAGTCTCAACCAATCATTTGATTAGGATCCACATCATCATCTTATCAACTTCAACATTGAACATTTGGGCATATATTTCTGCTGTTTTTTCGAATTTAGGTTGAAGTACAGCCATCTAAACCTCTGAAGGCAATATGTAAACAATATTGAACAGACATTTTGCACCAAAAACCCTTGAACCACAATTTTACCATTTCCGGTCTACATATATCTTTAAGTTTGCAGTCTCCAATCTTTTATTCACATAGTTGTAATTGATATCAATCGCAAATAAGTTGCAATAAGGCCAAATAACAAAAATAATGTGCTTCTCCTCCGGGCTTTTAAAAGAAAGGAGGAGGCAGGGCATTACTACGGTATTAACTATTTTGCAATTTTTTTCAAAGATGACAGCCATGCTAATTATAGCTTGCCAAGCCTAGTTATTCACATACATGTATATTGTGCTACTTGTACATGTATGTGAGTATACTGATGCAATTTATGACCAAATAAATGATTTGTATCACTTTAGAAGCTACATGTACATGTATTGAAAAAAAAAACATATCACAGGTCTTTTTCTCTTCTTCTTCTTCTTCTGAATACGGTAGTAAATAGTAAACAAAAGGAGGCGGCAGCCAAAAAGGAGGCGGGCGGGAGCTGGGGACAAGCCTCACTTCAATTTTGTTATTTGGCCTAAGATTGGGCCAAGATACAACCCACCATCATATAATGACTGTTATGCTTTATCTTGATCAACAAGCTGCATGAATGCGTTACTGTTGATGGTTTCTTAATATTTGCACAGTCTAAGTTTAAACATAAAAAAGGATGCTGGAAAATTGTAACCTATTTCTTAAAATTTGTTATCGATAAATATTGCCAAAATTTAATTTAAAAAAATGTATATATCCATTCAAATTAAAAATTCAATACATCAGTAGTTCATTTCTGTTATTGTAATTTGGTATTGATAACAAATTTCATGAAACATGGCCAGGGTTGTGTACTAGACTCTTTGAATACATGATGAATAAAAAGGATTTTATGGTGGAATGAGTATTGAAGTTTCAGGTTTAGTCTGAATATTCAGTGGATCATCTTTATGTATTTACTACCGTATTCAGAAGAAGAAGTTTTAAAGCACTCCTTTAAAACTAGTCCTACAGTGTAAGTTATGTTTAATTTTTTTAAAAACCCTTCTTTTAAAATGTTGTCCATTTCATTATGCATTAAGGTCTCCATAAATATAATATTTCTTTCTGTTTGTGTTAACAGTGTAAGAACAGTGATGTACAAATACTTGGAGGAAAGGAAAGAAATCACATTTGAAAAGATCTTTGGACAAAAGCTTGGTGAGTATGAGGATATTGATTAATGTACCGGTAAATGTTTATAAATTTCATTTCTAGACCTTCTCCGAGTATTATCTTCAGACCCTCTGCTTTGTCTTTGATTGGTTGAAGGGATGTCAACCTGTTGTACATTGTAGTCACTTTACAGTGTACATGTATTTACGTACACTAAGGGGATGCATGGTCGTTGGAATAAAAAATATGACACCCTATTCACCGGGAAAAGCACCGGCATGGTACCGTGAGTAAAATTAAAAAAAATATAAAAATGGCTGCTGAGTATTTGCCTGTAAGCCTGGAAGTGTACTGGAGTACCTCATTACACGGTTATGCACAGCCTTACTACAGTATATCATTCCAGACAGTGTTGAAAGATTTTTAGAAGCCTGTCTTACATGTAAGTCTTATCTTCATGTACATTGTGTAAACACGGTTGGGAAAATCAAAAATAGTTTGGAGAATTTACTTAAAGGGTGTCGCACAGTGACGCCTTCAAAGAAAACCATAAATAAAATTAAATATCTTTGTGGTTTGAGAATTTTTTCAGGATTTTTTGCATGTCAGAGGGTTAGTACAGTAGAAGGAATAGAATAAGTCACATTTCATACAAAAATTACACATTTTTTTCATCAACCTTCAACAATGTTACCAAGTCACTTTAATAGTGTCTTACATGTACACAATTCATGATTATAATTGCTTTTTGATACTAACAGACATGGTTTGACAGGAAATGGATGTATTCAGTCTTATATGAACTACATGTACATGTACTTCCTTGTATTTTGTCTATACAGTGTACATGTACATGCTGTAAATATACATGTACAGTACAGTTGTATACATGTGTACACTGTATATCTCTGACTCTGACATTCATCTCTGTTTGTTTATCTACTATTTAACTAGGATTATTATATTATTAATTATTTAATGTAATAATATCACATTATCAGAGAGTGCTATTTATGTAAAGGAGGGACATTCAAGGTCCCACCAGCAACATGTCAAATAGACTATTGGAAAGAGTTAGTTTCCATGACTATTAAAGTCACTTTGATCAATTAAAAGAACAACAAATTTAATGTTTTTGGGGGGGTTATTATTATTATTATTATTTTGTTTAGATACATGTACAATGTAGGCTCAAATTACATATTGTGTATCTGTTTTTGATTTGCCAGTGACAGTTACACAATGCTTTAAGTGGTAATTTATTTACTAATTTGATTCTGTTCCTTTACACTACAGATTAACATGGATCCTTATGAGAATATTAGTTCATATGCAATTATCATAGTGTGTGCTGTCTAGTGTCAAAGCTGTTTGATCGAATAAGAATACAGAGTACATGTACTTGGAAGGATGCATGGAAACTGAACTTGTCCCTCCAAGGTTTTCTGCATGTATTTATCAGAGCTGCCAACCATTCCGTTTTCCCGGAAATATTCAATTTTTCCCTCAAAATTACAGTACTATGTTTTTTCTTCATAAAATACTTTACAAAAAAAACTTTTTATAATTTTTAATAATATTTTGATAATTAAAAAAAAAAAAAAAAAAAAAAAAAAAAAAAATATATATATATATATATATTCCACACATCAAACAACTGCCCTAAAATGTTAATTTGATCACAAATTCAATAGAAAACTAAGGTTAAAACATACTTGAAAAGAAAAATATTCTTATAAAGAATGAAACGCTGATAATAACAAACAAAAGATACCTACTTTGTAAATAAACTATAAACCCTAATATGAAGGAAAAAACAGCATGAGGAATGGACATTTTTGCATTGGAAGTGTGTCGCGCATGGTTGTAAGTTTCGTTCTATTAATGAATTCCTTTTTTTTGCTTGAAATTCCTTTTTTTGCCTGAAATTCCTTTTTTTGCCATCATGGTTCCTTTTTTCGGTTGCACAAGGTTGGCAGCTCTGATTTTTTTTTCTGTTTTAAATAGCAAACTTTCACAATTGAATATTAATAAAAAAAGAGGGAAAGAAACTGTACTGGAATTCGTCAATGCTAATGAATTATATGTAGGTGATCTGCAGCAGATCTGAAGTGACGAAGAACTCGCTGAAAGAAGACGAAGCTATAGACTAGTTCACCCTCCTCATAGTTGAATGATAGATTTTGTATTAGTCTTATTGCTGTACAGTAAATGTGTATCAAATATAGCCTCTATGTATTATTGTATGAATTGGAAGTGAAAATCAAAGAGTTCCTATTCTTACCAGCACTACAGTACAGTGTAGGCCTGTATGTGATTATTATTGTATTTTATTATCTGCTACTTCCAGCTTTGTTTCCTGATTCTAATGACTCTGTGCTAATGCTATGCAGTCTGCTTTCACGCATTCTCTACCAACCATATATGTTTGTTCAGTAGCCTCTTCTTATTTGTTTGTACACACATATTATCCTGCACATGTATCCTCTATCCCTCTCTCTCTCTCTCTCTCTAGTTCCAACTCGCCCACTTAGAGCTACATGTTAGGTTTCACCGTCACACGACCTAAATGTAACATTGCGTGGGCGGGAAGAAGAAAATGGCTGATGTTTCTAATGCACGTAATTTATGCCTCTCCCGGCAAGCATCGATATGTGCTGGAGCTGCAGAGGGTTTTGAAGCCAATATATGATGTGCTCGTCAAAAGTGGAATTGCATTATAGATGTAACATGATACAAAGGAAAGAAAGAGTCTGGGGACCGGGTATTGTCTAATGATGGTGTCACAGATATGGAATTGAGCTACATGTCTATGTATGTGAATTCATGCCTTTCATAGTGGTTTATTTCTTTGAATGACATATTGATACTCCCATCTAAACCATTTGGTTTGTCTACATTGAGTCTAATTTCCAACAGTGTGTTGTTTAGTAGTATTTAGTATGTTCTAGGTTTTCATGATACTACTATCTGCACAAAATCACAATTAGTAGGCTGAATACAAAATCAATTTTGTAATACAAATATTCAATGCATTAACTGCAATGCATATAAATGTACATGTACATAATGCATTGTGTAGTACTGTATGTCCTTTTCTCATGAAACAGAATATGGGTAATTGTTAATGGAGAATAAAATACAGTACATGTTTGTGTACTGCATTTAATGCATCAATATGTGCAGATATTCATTTTGTTGATTAGGCGTGGAAAAAAACACATGTACATTGTACATACTGTATGCATTGCCCCACTTCGCTTTTGTGGATAAATGCTTCACGTTTTGTTTGCAAATATTTGAATTCTTTGTATGTTTATCGAGTAATGTGTGAACAGTACTTCACACCCCTTGAGCTTGTTATTTGTGGATGCTCATGAAAGTTATTTTTTAACCCTCATGGTGTATATACCATTAGTTAAACATTCTGCAAGTTTGTGTATGAAGACATTTTTTCTCCATACAGTGAACAATGCTACAGGTAGTTCATTACAATATATTGTCCTTTGAAAATTAAAGTCATGTAAATCATCTAATACGCTTGCAGAGAAAGATCAAAGAAAATGTAGACTCTCTTCAAACCTATTTATATTGCTGTAGACGACATACTCTTTGTTAATGGAATTTAGATATTGAAATCTCTAGGTATCTCTTAACTGGCAACAGTATTGGATGCAATGCACAATCAATTACATTCTGTAAAGGTATATTTATTTATATACACACATGGTGCATGTAGTTCATGCACATTACTGTATGTTCAGGATGTAAATATTGAGAGGTTTTTTTTTCCCCTTCAAATTCTAGTGGCACAGGAATTCTTACATGCATTATAGGAGTACATTTACAGGTATACAATATGTAGGGAAATTAAAGGAAGTCTGAAAGTACACAAGAAAGATTTTTTTAATAAACGGACTTCATCATCTATGATATCAATGATCATGATTCCTTTATACATGTATAACTTTCCCTAGATTTACAATGTACTTCAAAAAGTTGCTTCAGTGCTGTACATGTATCATACCCTGTACACAAGTATTGGAATGTTACATGTATAGTATGTTGTATTTCAAAATAACACGTTGTCAAAAAGCAGTCATAGTTTTGCTTAATAAATTTCTTTTGACTTTGCAGGGCTTGACACTAATAGGCACACACAATCAAGGTCCCGCCCCCCCCCCCCCACAAATGGCAAAATTTGTTATTGTATTTTGTATCTCATATGTTTTGCATGTTTTTACCATAATGGTAAAGATAAGTTCTACAGGATTTACATGTACATGTACATTGAATTTTAAGCTCCTGTAGAACTTAACATTCTAAAATGATGCCCATGTATGATTAACCTATTTCTTTCTTCTTCTCTTTTACAGGATATCTTCTGTTCAAAGACTACTGTGAGAATTGCGCAGATGTGCAAGTCCAGCAACTGCAATTCTATGAAGCGGTAGGTACACATTCACTCGTTAGCCCTGGCTGAAAAGGCAAAGACTATAAAACCAAGTTTGATTGGATCAGAATTTGTAAATATGATTTTAGAGTGGTTTCGTTTCTGAGACCCTGCACATATTTGTTTATGTGTTGTGTACGGTATCCAGTCCACGTTTCATAGAGTCCTCAAAGGTTACGAATATCACTAGATCGCATTCTTCAGACTACTGCTACCAAAGCAGTATTACAACTCTTCGGCTTTGTAAAAGGTTGCTGTCTTTTTTACTCCAATGGCAGTGCAAAATTATGAAATAATCTAGTTATACATGTATGGACTTTACATGTCTCTTAAAGCCTATCTACACTACTTTGGCCAGGAGAGATTAGACCTCCCTTTATGGTCACTGACAGGGGGTTATCTCATCAAATCGGCTCTCAATTAACATAAGAAAAAGGGGACTATGGGGGACCAACGGTCACCAATTAGGCATTATTTGCTATAGAGGGCGCAAGTAGCTATAAGTAGACTACTACTTGTGGGGCTTTAAAAAAAACATGAATACATGCATGTATCACTATCTAGAATTGACCCTTATTCAGAGTATTTACTTCTGAGTTCCGAAGCATTAAACCAACCCTTTTTAAATGGTTGCTCTTTTTATGCCTCCGCCACCGAAGGTGGTGCCGGAGGCATCATGTTTTCGGGTTGTCCGTCCGTACGTCCGTCCGTCCGTCCGTACGTCCGTCCGTCCGTACGTCCGTCCGTCCGTCCGTCCGTCCGTCCGTCCGTCCGTCCCGTTTGACCGTTATCACAATATCTCAAGAACCATTTAAGATTTAAACTTAAGACTCGGGAATAGTATTTATCACCATAGGAAGACGATCTGATTAGATTTTGGAGTACGTAGGTCAAAGGTCACAGGTCACAGAGGTCAACTTATGAAATTCCTTGTATTGAGTTTGTTAGCGCGATATCTCAAGAACCATTTGAGATTTAAACTTCAAACTTAAGGATAGTATGTATCACCATAGGAAGACGATCTGATTAGATTTTGGAGCACGTATGTCAAAGGTCAAGGGTCACAGAGGTCAACTTATGAAATTCCATACATTGAGATTGTTATCATGATATCTCAAGAACCACTGGAGATTTAAACTTCAAACTTTGTGATAGTGTGTATCACTATAGGAAAACAATCTGATTACATTTTGGAGCACGTAGGTCAAAGGTCAAGGGTCATAGAGGTCAACTTATGAAATTCCATACATTGAGATTGTTATCATGATATCTCAAGAACCACTGGAGATGTAAAAACTTCAAACTTAAGGATAGTATGTATCACCATAGGAAGACGATCTGAGTAGATTTTGGAGCACGTAGGTCAAAGGTCAAGGGTCACAGAGGTCAACTTATGAAATTCCATACATTGAGATTGTTATCATAATATCTCAAGAACCACTGGAGATTTAAACTTCAAACTTAATGATAGTGTGTATCACCATAGGAAGACAATCTGATTAGATTTTGGAGCACGTAGGTCAAAGGTCAAGGGTCACAGAGGTCAACTTATGAAATTCCATACATTGAGATTGTTATCATGATATCTCAAGAACCACTGGAGATTTAAACTCCAAACTTGTTTAAATTGCTCTATGGCGGAGGCATCATTTTCGACTGCGCGCAGTCAAAATTCCATCTAGTCTTTACTCTATTACGGTAGTGGATAGTTATGGACTAATGAATGTTACTGAAGATTATAAATTCTGTACATGTATCTTTAAAGGTACTATGCCCCATTTTCAGGCCAAAAAAATGAAAAGATTAAATTCCAACAGTATTTGAAAGATAATACTAATTTAGAACTTCCCTAAAAAAGGTTGGGGCTTGAAAATGTCTTCAAGTGGGAAAATAATGACTATTAGTTGTCAAATCGACTTAGGAGTTATAGAGCCAATAAGTAATAGTCTTGATTTTCAGACCATTGTACCGAATGGTCATACATTTTATGCTGTGCAAAGATTCAATCAGTTTAATTTTGGCCATCACAAGAAGTGGGTTATTGTTGTAGATAAATGCTCCTGTACCCTTTACAGCTCATGTTATGTATGTTATTACCAAAGAAGAAAAAAAGCCAGTCACTCACTTAATAGTGTCTGACAGTGAAGTCTAGCAAGTAAAAGAGTTTCCTTGCATAATTTTAATATTAGGACACTGCTAATGTGTAAATTTCACAGATAAAACATACATGACATATTCATAATTCCTGCAAAGTTCTACAGAATTTGAGGTTGGCTGCAAAAGGGATATAGTACCTTTAAAGTCATATGGTATTAAGTGCATGAAGGACTACTAGGATACAATATGCAGGATGTATTGTAACTTATGCGCTGTTCAGTTCTACAGTGTCGAAGAGTCATTTAAACACACAATGAAGCTACTGTATGTATGCATGTAGTGAATAGTCTTATTACTCCAGTATTTTGGGTACCAGTAAATTGTTTTTGCTATCAATCTTAATAGCCTTAATAAAATATATTTTCTTGATCAAGGATATGGTGCTTGATTCCCTAACCAGTAGATATTTGCAAAGATGTCTTATTTACAGATTAGATGAAATGATTTACTCAACTTTATACAGATTTTGCTTTTGAGGATCTATCCGTTTTCAAACATCCCTTTCTTCCTAGCTCAAGGGCCAATTTGTCTGCTTGAAAATAAACTTTTACTGGAATTTAACCTCTAGCTGACCTTTGAAGTGAGTCATGTTACTTGAGAAGAAGGAACATGTAAACACAGTCAAAGCTCTGTTTACCTTTATTCTCCCCAAGTATAAAAATAACCAGTACTCTTAGATAATGTCTGAACTGTTGTGGAAAAAGGAAGATGAAATACATTTAAATATTGCAAAGGTTCACTGTACCTATTTTCTGATGTGAAGTCCCTTTTCCTGATCAATAACAAATCATAAAAAGCTCATGATCGATGAGAGATGTTTGTCCCCAAATATGCAATTTTTTAAGCCTCGACTCGATGTTGAAAATCAATGATTAAGGTACATGTAGCTAGTTTCTGAGTAATTCTAGGGTGCGTTGAATCGACACTTTTTCACCCTAGAAACACGGTTTTGAAAGACATTTAGTTCAAACCGCGGTTGCGTTCAAGCGATTTTCATCGGTTGTAAAAATCAACGTGTTTGAAAACGCGAACATGAAACGCTGAAAAACATGTGTTTTCTATCGTGATTCTGTGAAAAAGATGTGTTTTCTATCGTGATTCTGTAGAATCACAGTCAATAAAAATTTGCTTGAACGAACGGAGATCTCAATGATTCTATAACGTCATTATCGTGACCTGCTTCCAGTTTGGCTGACAGTTGACCTTAAACAAATTCAGAAAGCAAGAGGCAAAATTTGATTTACCTACTGCACAGCCACAGTGTAATGAGCAGTGGCTGGGCTTGAAATGAGCGAGAATCAGCATTGTTAGAAAAATCGCTTGAACGCTCTCCCGCAGTAACCATGTTTTTTAACAGCGTTTTTGAATTGTGATTCATGTTTGTGATTCTAGCTTCAAAAAATTGCTTGAACGCAGCTTTAGATATAGAAGGCTGAAATCTTTGGCGTTGTTGTAGGAGAGAAGCAAGATAGGGAGATAAGTTATTAATCACATAAGCAGCTCATTATCTCAAATCCATTAATCAAATATACTGATTTGAGTAATGATATGTACAAGAGTTGATTTGTCTCCCCCCTGTACAATATTGTGTGATAGCTCGGCATTGAATAACTTCTGAAATATTTCATGTCTTCTTTGATGAAATCCATTTACTTAAAACATTTTTTGTTGAAATTTGGAGAAATGTCATACATGTACATGTATGTCACATACTGAGAAACATGTGAGATATTTCCAGTTTTGAAGAGTAAAATAAAATGAAAATTAGAGCACACTTGATTACATGTATAATGTATTAAATACATTTAAGGCATAATGGAAAATTTTCTTCATTAAGTTGTAAGTTTGTAACCAGTACAAAAATAACCATTTCACCCTTCTTACACTGTTTATGTTAGCTCTTAAGGACATCTACTGCTGAACCAATTCAGATTGTTACAGAAGAATCTCTACTCTCTAGCGTGGTAGTTCTCAAATACTGGAGGGGCCTAAATTGTTTACCTCTACTATCTGTTCAATTGTTTACAAATTCTCCAGTATTTTACAACTGCTCTTGAAAGGCTAAACTCGGCCTCCTGATAAGAACAAATCAAGAGAAGACAGAGTTGCCTCTGCATACTGTCAGTATGCAACATACATGTACATGTACACCATGTTCAGACTATCACAGTCTACAGTCAAGAAACGTATAATAAGTAGTTACCCGTTTTTGCTAGTCTGTACGCCATGTAAAAAAACTAGTTTCAAATGAAAACTACATAAACAATCCAGGGTCCCGGTCTAGTCTGAATGTCCGTCATACAAGAATAGCTTATAACCAGGCGGTTATATTAGCATGCACTGATCAGATTGGCCAGCTGTCATGTTATTCGACCTATTCAAAACTAGTTTCTTTACATTACTTTTCCTTTAACAATGTTTCTGTAGGCCCCTTTCTCTTTACGTTGATTCTTTATATGACGTTTCTCGGTATGAATGTTGTATACATTACATTTAAGCCAGTCTGAACACGCCCATACATACAGTATAGTCCTTTTACTTCATCTCGAAAATAAATTTATGGGGCAGCTTTTAAAATTCTGGGGGCTTGACACTGAACGTGATAATGGATGTGGTTTCTCTTCTATGACATCACAGCCCTCCTTAGCACGATGATTGATGAAAATTTGAGGGATTTATTGTTGAGGTTTTGTGCTAATTTGGCCCCCATGCCTGAATTTTAAAGGTCAGCTTCCAGATAGTATTTATTGTGTTTATTGTAAGGCAGTAAACATGAAGGTTGGGTGTGAAGATGGATATACAATCCCACGCTCACTCCTTTTTCTTTCCTTCTCTATCTC